GGCCAAAGGAACCCAGCTGTTCCTCGGACGGCGCCCCAAGCCCCCCACCCCCTCCATCGCTTTTCCCTGCACGCCTTCAAGCTCCTCAGGGTCCTCCTTGCATTGTGGCAGCCAGAACTGGACACAGTGTGCCACCCAGGCGGGGTCTGTCCAGGGCAGGGTAGAGTGAGTTGAACTGGACTATTCTGAGTTGAACTGTTGTCCACCCACCTCTGAGTCAGCAGATCGCTCTACTGGCATGAAATGTGCTATCCTCATTGCTGATCTTCTGCCCAATACATTGAACCCTACGCTGATCATAGAGCCTGCTGAGGCATTAAATAAATAAGCAAGCAAACACATCAAGATTGAAACTAACCAAGCATAACAAGTTGTGTGAATGTGGACCGCTATATCTTCTAGCGTGTCTTGTGATCTCAGCCTACATACTGGAGTGCTGCACGATTGGGTGGAAACTATTTATTCCTAATTGGTTTAATACAAATCTGGAAGTTGCAGAAGAATGAAATATTTGTGTACATAGTGGCCTACAGTAATCAAATACACAAGTAATAAAAGTCTAACACAGCATCAAACTAACAATGAATGGCAAAATCAAGAAAGCAGATTTGCTATTCTACTCCTAGAGGAATAGCTGAGGTAGCAAGAATGGAGGTCCCCAAAGATGTGAGGTTTCCCAGGAACTGGACAGCGGCTGTTCCAGGGGATGCTGAAGATTTAAAGGGGATTTCTGGTGGGCTACATTGGGGGAGAATGGCGCTTTGATGCCCAATGAGCCAAAGGCTGAGCATGATGGCATTGGGCATTTGGTGGCCCAGTCTCACATTTGTGCAGGATCACAGGAGCAAGGGTGGCCTCTTCGATCAACATTTCTCAATATTGGTTGCTCCCATTTTCCTGTTTGTGAGAATACAGGTAGTCCTTGACTTATAATCATTTGTTTAACAACCATTCAAAGTTACGATGGTGCCGAAAAAAGCGATTTATGACCGGTTCTCGCACTTATGACTGTCGCAGCATCCCCACAGTCATGTGATCAAAATTCAGGCACTTGGTGACTGGCATATATTTATGAGGGTTGCAGCATTCTGGGGTCACCTGATTGCCATTTGACAAGCAAGGTCAACGGGGGGAGCTGGATTCGTTTAACGACCAAAGCAAAAAAAGTTGTAAAATTGCAAAAGTCCCAATCGTGGTCATAAGTCGAGGACTACCTGTATTGTGACTTGAGATTTTTCCGGTTGTGCATGTATGTGAAGGTGTTGATTTATTCATCAAACTTAACATTTTAAGAAAATAAACTTTTCATAAAATATATAAATATTTGGGTGCCCATTTCTGTGAAAAAAGAGGCACTTTTGTTTGCACATCTGCCTGGCATACCCAGTGTACACAGACATGAAGCTTCCCTCGTATACTGCTCCTGTAAGTGATTTCCAAGAAGTGTGCATCTGATACAGATTTCCTCCCCAACGCATTTTTTAAAAACGAGTGAAACAGTCCTGCAAAATTCAGAGAAGTTCAGATGGGAAAGGATAACGTTCGCTTCGTGTATCGACTAAAAATGAGACCCAAAGAGGAATGAAATCGTGTTCTTTCCCGCCCTCCCCCAGCCAGAACGAGGAGCTGCTGGGCTGGTGCAGGCCCGGGAACGAAGGCGGGTGCCGAGCCCGGGGAGGAAGAGCCACCCCGGGGGCCGCCTGGCCCGCTGCTCTCTCTCGGGGTCCTGCTGCAAGTCCTCCGGGCGGCCTTTGGAAGCAGCGGCTCAGGTGCTCCTCCGGCACTGGGTGGCATCTCCTGCTGGCCTGGCCGGGGCAGTGGGTGTTACACCAGGGCTCTGAAGTCTGAGGGTCTGTCAGATGAGGGATTTTTCACTGTCTCATAGATTGTCTTGGCGTTTTGGTCTTCACTCTGCCAAGGAGAACACAGGCATGTAGTTATTCGGGGAGCTTTACTGTCTGCAGAGCGTGGTGAAGAAAGTCACGATGGTGCAACTGAAGCTCTACCTGCTGCACAGAACAACACCACACCCTGCAGACACCCCGGGCCAGCCAGATGGCTTCATCTTTTCGTTCAAATAACCTAAGCATCAAAAAGGAATACCAATCTTCCGGAAGACCGGTACGCCCATGTCCAAACCCTGACAGGACCGCGTTTCCTCCAGCAACCTGAGAGGTGGTCGAGTTCTCCTTCTCAGGCAGGTGCCAAGAGTCCCACCACACCTGATGGAGCTTGTATTTCTCAGGAGACCCCGAGTAGGAGGGGAAAGGGACGAAAGGAAGCCGGGAGACTACCAAAGGCCGTCTTGAGCTCTCCCACTTTAAATCTGCAAGGCCAGCACCGCTGTCCGGCTCCTTGCAGCTCACAACGCCTGGTGGCGTTTGTTTCTCCTGACGGCCCTCAGGAAGGACCCTGCGAGTTGCTGGCAATGAAAGACCCCGTGGCTCCCTTCGCAAAACACGCTAAGCTTGGTTAGTTTTAACTTTTAGGGTGCAGCATGTGGTGTGAATCCAGCCCATTTGACGGTTTTGCATTCGGTCTGAGTTGCCCACTCCCAGACAATAGGCTATTTAGGTGAGACGTCTACTGGAATATTGAGTTGTCAAACGGGACTGTTTTTCTCCCTCCTCACAAAGAACCAGAAGCAAGAAAGCCACGTGCCTCTTGAGACTTGCTGACCTCCGAATAAACCGTTTTCTCCTCCTGGCTGTGGAGGCCGTGCTGTCTCTTCCTCATCTTCTCATCGTCTGTTTGTAAAGGACTCTGCAAAAGAGAGGCCGTTCGAGAATCAGGCCGGGAGGAACCGGGTCTTTGGCCAAGAAAACCTGCTTAGAAAGGGCCACCTCGAATGTCTGGGCATCTCAAACCTTTGAGCGCAAATCCCAGTTCCCCGGAGCGGTTGTGCAGAAAG